TATATTACTATTCATAGTCAAACTATGAATAGTAAATGATAAGTTACAGAAATAACCCCTGAACTATTTACCACTTGTTAATTTTGGAGGCAACATTTTCCACAAAACCTGGTAACAAGAAGAATACAAAGGCTACGTGGGCAGAATCATAACTCAATTTAAAGAAACATACCCTAAATCTTCACCCATGATTGTGAATTTCCGGGAAGGAGATCCAGGAAGCATTAAGATCCACCAAACTCTATTAGAACACTATATTACTATAATGGACTACCCTCGGGACTATGAAGGTTGCCCATTGGTACCAATTGAGGTGATCCACCATTTTCTTAAATCAAGCGAAAGCTGGCTCTCACTTGGACAACAAAACGTTCTTCTAGTGCACAGTGAACTTGGTGGTTGGCCTGTGTTGGCTTTCATGTTGGCTGCTCTTTTGCTTGACAGAAAACATTTCACTTCTGAAAGTAGGGCCCTTGAGATGGTTCTGAAACAGGCCCCACCTGATAAGTTACCCTTAGTACCCCTGCTTTCAGAATTGGATGCTACAGCTTCTCAGTTGAGGTACTTACAGTATGGGAACACTTATGAACGATGGCCTCCAGCAGACAAACCACTCAAATTAATTTGTGTGATAATGAGAATGATTCCTGATTTTAATGAAAAAGGAGGTTGTTGTCCTGCATTTAGAATTTATGGACGCGATCGGTTGTTACATCTTGATAAAACCCCTAAACTTTTATTCTCAACCCCAAGGAGGAGTAAGAATGTCCAGTCTTACAATCAGGTAGGATATATCACCATTATGTTTCTAGGTTTACGTTTCTTATTCTGATAGATTATAATTTCCATGCATTTCAGGCAGAAAATGAGCTGGTTAAAATTGATATTAATTGTGATAGTGTATTAACTTAAATGATGATCTGGTGGAGGAGACGATTATGTATCGTGCCATGTTCAACACAGCATTCATCAAATCGAATACTTTGATGCTGAGTCGTGAGGAAGTCGACATATCTTGGGATAAAAAACATCAATTTCCTAGGGACTTCAAAGCTGAGGTACTTTTCTTCACGTTCCTCCTAGTCACAGGACATAGTATTTTTTAGTATTAATGAGATAAATGAGTAACAAATCATCTGGGATCTTTTCAGTAAGTCACTTAAGTTGTGTTCAATAGAGCACCAAACATCCAAAATAATTTCATTAACTCTTTTTATTTTTGCATTGCCTTTTCGATAGCACAAGTAAAGGTCTGGTGCGCATAACTGCTGCCATCTACACTAAACACAAGCCTTTCATATATGAGTAAATTACAAAAATGGTCCCTGTGGTTGTATGGTACTTTTGAATCAAGTCCCGTTTTTTTAATTGTAACGCTGGTCATCTCAGTAATAGTATTTAATTTTTGTTTTGGTCCATAACAAATATGAAATGACTAAATTTTCCTTATCATATTTTTTATTTATACTATTTTCTTAAATTATTATTTTAGATATTTAAAATGAATGGCCCAACCCCAACCCCACCCTCACCTCTCACACCACCTCCGTTACCCTTTTGTTTACCGAGCACCACTATCGGTAGCGATTGTCTTTCCGATAACCATCATTTTCTCTAACTCTATTTCTATATCTCTAAAACCATACATTTATTTACCTGCTCTCGAATCTGTTTTTGCAAACAAAGCCTTCTCCATACATTTATTTACCTCCAAAACCTTCTCTACCTCCTCTATTTCTATTTCTATCTCCAAAGCCATACATTCATTTACCTATTCTCAAACCCGTTTCTGCATCCAAAGATTATTTACCTGCACTTGAATCGAGTTTTATAAAACGCATCAGAAGACTTGCTAATCAGTTCTCGAATGGAAATTCGCTACCAGTGGGCTCACACCACCACTGGTGCAGTATCGTCAACAGCGCCACTGCCTTGCACTTTTATCCCTTGCCACTATCGCAGCACTGCCACTGCCACCAGTGCCAGTACCTTGTGCTTCTATCGATCTCCCAATATTTCCCTTTCTCTATTCCAAAATCTATGTAGAACTTCTTTCGTTTTCCCGGTTTTTCAATTTCGTTCGCAGTCGGTGACCACAGCCCACCTTCTCGCCATCCTTCCTCGTTGCCACCTACTTTCTCTGTGCCAGTGAAAGAAAATGACAGAGAGTTTCTGGAGGAGGAGAGAACGCCGATGATCAACATTCACGAAGGTTTTGGAGGCGGAGCAAAGTCACATAGTTCGTGGTACGGTAACAAGGAACGGGAACGCGATTCATGGGGTTGATCGTATCGGGGACAAGGGGGGTAGGTTCATTTCGATACGTGTCCGGTACAGTGTATCATTGGTCCCGATACGGTGTACTTGTTTTTAGAACACATTTTTAGCACTAATTTACTTATAAACACAATTTCCAGCAACATATTTCATTTAGAAGCAGAATTCCAGTAATAGTATGTTTATAAACTCAATTCCAGCAACGTATTTCATGATTCCGTAATTCATAATACCAAAATACATGGATTATAATGTTTACATGCTGGAAATCAAAAACAGAAACAGTTTTCTAACCACTTAAAAACAGAAACAGGAAGAGTAAACAAACAAAAATAAAAACCTAACAAGTCAATCTACCCGTTGCCTTTTTCCTTGTCCATTTTCCACATTTTCTTCATCTAAATTCTCCCAAATCATGTCATCTAATTGAGAACTTGAGCCTTCAATGTAAGTGCTTTTGGGATTGATGTCCCACTTTTTGTGTGGGCCGGATTTGTATGATTCATGGAAACGAGATACGAGTCGAATGTTGGAGTGAATGTAAACCAATTTATCGGCTCTTTTTTCATCCAACCGGTTTCTTTTCACATTATGAATATATGAATACGTACTCCAATTCCTTTCCGCCAACGAGCTACTAATAGGTTGTGAAAGTACCTTCTTTGCTACAAAGGACAAATCTGGGGTTTTCGGCTTCATAGGTTGACCACCAATCTATTGGATCCATTGTCAAAGCATCAGTTTGTGTTTCCGCCATAGAGTAGATACATTTCTTCATATGGAATATTACGAATTGCTCTCGTAACGATCGCCCCTCCTCTTCATTTTCAGAAATTCTATTGAAGGATTCCATGACACCTTGCATAACCACTTTGTCTAGATTTGGTGGTTTCCTTTGCATACCACCATGTGTCATTTTTTGAAGATATTGCCTATCATAAAATCGTGGGTTTAATGAAAACCGCAAACAATGTAGTGGGATATTCATCTTCTCCCACCTAGTTAAAATTATCTTCACTTGTTGGTAATAGCAGCATAAGTATTTTCTTGCATTATGTCTTTGATTTCTCCCATCATATTATCCATCCTCTCATTAATCTCACCTTTAGAATTCTGCATATAGGAGACAGAAAATAGAGAAGAAGAAGAGAAGAGAAAAATCAATATGTTCTCATTGCACAAAAAAAATGAAACATAAGGAATATAAATACTAAATAATTTGGGCTGGCTAGCTATACTACTTTCCTTATAGATAAACTAGACCCTAAAAGATAATATAAAAAACAAATATTAAATAAAAACTATGTGCTAAAAATCTTCACTCCCCCTCAAGCTGGGTATGAATATCAATCATATCCAGCTTGCACTTCATAGTATCAAATTTGTTCTTTAGAAGGGCTTTGGTTAGAAGTCGGAGGGAACGTATGACATCTCAAGTATTCCAGCTTCTAGCTTCTCCTTGATAAAATGACGATCAATATCCATGTGTTTCATTCTATCATGATGGTCTGGGTTCTTTGTTATTTTAATAGTAGTTGAATTGTCACATAGGAGAGTCATCCTCTGGTTATTTGGGATTTTAAGTTCCTTAAGCATCCTTTTTGGCAATATTCCTTCACAAATACCTTGACACATAGCCCGAAACTCAGCTTCATCACTGCTTCTAGAAACTACAAATTGTTTCTTACTTCTCCAAGTAACGATATTACCCCAAACGAAAGTGCAATATCCGGTTGTTGACCAACCATCCATAACATATCCTCCCCAGTCTGCATCGGTGTAGACTTTAATTCCCCTTTCACTAGTCTTTTTGAAGTATAATCAATATCCTGTATTCTTTTTTAACTAGTGAAATATCTGAAAGACAACTTCCATGTAACGATTAGTGGGGGCATTCATAAATCGACTCACAATACCTACGTCAAATCCAATATTGTATGAGCAAGATAGATCAATTTCCCAACCAATCTATGATATCCGCAAACTCATCTCCATTTTCTGTCCAGAATTTCCTTCCAGGTTCCATAAGAATACTAGCTGGCTTGCAACCTAGAAGCCTCGTTTCCTTTAAAAGATCAAGTGTGTACTTCTGTTGTGTCATAGAGATTCCTTTCCTTGAACGTGCGGTCTCCATCCCAAGGAAATATCTAAGTTGGCCAAGATCTTTAATTTTAAATTCTCTTCCCAAGACCTGTTTCAGCTCATTAATCTCCTTGGTGTAGTTTCCCGTCAGGATGATGTTTTCGACATAGATAGTCATGATGGCAACCTGCCCATCATTCGAGTGTTTGGTAAACATAGTATGATCTGTTTGTCCTTAAATAAACCTGTGATGTTTAACCACTTGTGTAAGATATTCAAACCATGCTCGAGGCAATTGTTTTAGCCCGTACAATGACTTCTTGAGTTTACATATCATTCCTCTATTCTCTTGTGATTCGAGACCTGTAGGGATGTCCATGTAGACTTCCTCTTTTAACTATCCATTTAGGAAAACATTTTTCACATCTAGTTGGTGCAACGACCAGTCAAGATTTGCAGAAAATTATAGCAAAACTTGAAGAGTTTAATTTTTCTACTGGAGCAAATGTTTCTGCATAATCAATTTCATAAGATTGTGTAAACCCTTTAGCAACAAGTCTTGCTTTAAATCTACTAATACTACCCTCAGAGTTATATTTGATAGTGAACACCCATCTACACCCCACAGTTCTCTTTCCTACCGGAAGACTTGTGTACTCCCACGTGTTGTTTTTCATAAGGGTGTTAACTTCTTTAAGAAAGGCATCAACCCATTATTTTTTTGAATTTGCTTCATGTATGTTTCTTGGAACTTGTATTTCAGAAACCGAAAGAGCAAACGATTTGAACTTGGGTGACAGTTTATCATATGAAACAAAATTACTTATTGGATGTGTTGTACAACTTATCTTCCCTTTTCGTAGAGCAATTGGAACATGAAGACCACTTAACTCATCAGGAGGAATATTAAGACCGGAGTTTGTAGATTGAGTGTTACCTTGAGAATCCAAGAATGATTCATGATTGCGTGCCGCAGTTGTGACTTGCTTTACCACCACATGTTGTTTTGGGCGTCTAGTGTAAACAATGTAGTCCTTATCACCCTCTTTATCTGATGTTTCATTTAACGGTGGAATAGCGATTTCAAAGTTAATTATGACAAGAGTATGTGCTGAAGTGGGAATTTCTGCATGATGAATAGACTCCGAGGAATTCAAATTATGATACATTAAAACTGATATTCCACAGACTTCCGACATGAGTATGTGCTTCAGGTGGGGGCTGAACTTGAGAACAATAGAGACCGAGTTACCTCGAGAAGACGTCTATTCTTATTTCTTCATCTCGAGGACGCCGTTTTGTTGTGGGGTATCAACACACGACGTAACATGGACAATTCCTTATTGAGTTAGGTAAATGCCCAATTCAGAGTGGAAATATTCCTTTGCGTTGTCAGATTTAAGGATATGAATTTTGGTTGCAAATTGGTTTTGAATCATTTGATGGAATTACTGAAAGATTGATCCAACTTCAGATTTTTCTTTCATCAGAAAGACCCATGTGATGTGAGTATGATCGTCGTTAAATGTTACGAACCATCTCGCACCTGATATGTTTTTCACTCTAGGTCCCCAAACATCACTATGGATTAAATGAAAAGGATGGGAAGGCTTATATGGTAAAGGAGAATAAGTATGTATAACATGCTTGGACATTTGATACACTTCACATTTATAATCATTCGGGTTTTTATTGAATAAATATGGAAACAATTTTTGAAGATAGGAGAAGTTTGGGTGACCTAATCTATAATGCCATAACATCACACTATTTTGACTAGAAACATTAAATGAAGATGCACCTTGACTTTTTTCCGAATGCTCAGCTTCACAGTGGTAGAGTTCATCACGGACTTTAGCACTGCCAATCATCTTCCCCAAATTCAAGGCCTGACATACACAAACAAATGGGGTTAACACAGTGATGCAATTCAGATCATTCATTAGTTTGATAGGAGCAAACAGATTAAAGTCAAGATTAGGAACATATAACACATGTCTCAATGTTATATTCTTGGATATAACAACTGTATCGATGCCAACAACATTTGCATTCTCTCCGGTTGCAACACGTATAGTGCTTTCATTCGACAATGGTTGCAATTCAGTGAAAATGCTCTAATATTCGGTCATGTGATTAGTAGCACCACAATCAACTACCGAAGGTTTTGTACCTAAAGTACTTGTTGTAAATGCTGATGAGGACCCACTTTGTTGTGCGACAACGGTTGTTCCTTTCTCTTCGAAGGTTGGACATTGC